CTTGGATGCACTTGAGGTAAGATAAAACATATCAAACATGTATTTCAAAGTGAACTATCCCTTTAAACCTGCATGTTACACTCTCCAAACATGTTTTTGGGGGGGAAAAGTCGTGTCGCAAGTGTTCGGGAATTTGGTGTAATTGATTCAATATGCTGGCTGGGGGTCACACAGCTTCGAGGGGGGCGGCGTAACACGACACCGCTGTGTGTAGATGTTTTCTGCTCGGGAAACTGATTACTTGTGAATAGGGCTAAAGGGAAACATGTTTCAGAATGGATGATTTTCATTTTTGAGAACTTAACGCAAGTCACAAGTTGGTGGTTGAGTTTTGGACAAAAAACAACGACACCGTATCAGATCGTTTTTTGTATGTAGGAAAATCCATATGATGTGGGAAAATGAGAGGATGTGTGTGTGTTTCCAGTCTCCTCCCTGCTCTGATCTGTGTGACTCCCTCCTGTGTTTCCGGCTGGGGGTGAAGCGCCCGTGTCAGTGTGTCCGTCTGCAGATCCGCGAGGCATGGGGCGCGCGCTCGCGTGTCAACGGCTGTCGTGTGGAGTGTGTCTGTGCTGGACTGATAACATGGGTGTGGGGCATCAGCAACTTACACAAACACACCACAAACGTGAGAAGAACAAGCGAGACGGTGAAGACACGTGAAGCACGAGTAGGGATGAGAAACGGTTCTAGCTAGGGCCATTAACGTTTAGTACTTTAAAGGAATAAATATTTGGGGGGGAAAGAAATGCAATTCCAAAAAGTGTTTACATGGCCTTTTATTTCATTTTTGGCCTTTTTCACAGTCTAATTGGTCTGAAATATACATTAAACAACAATGCTTAGTCATTTTATTCATTTAATTTTATAAAATACTCCTGGAAAAGTCATGTTTTTGATTCACTTTAAGATCCGGCTCATTGGAGTCATTTGATTGAGATTTGGACTTCACTAGTTAAACTGTTCTGAATCTTTTTGATTCACTTTAAGAACCGGCTTATTGGAGTCATGTGATTGAGATTTGGACTTCACTCTGTTCTGAATGTTTTTGATTCACTTTAAGAACTGGCTCATTGGAGTCATTTGATTGAGATTTGGACTTCACTAGTTAAACTGTTCTGAATCTTTTTGATTCACTTTAAGAACCGGCTTATTGGAGTCATTTGATTGAGATTTGGACTTCACTCTGTTCTGAATGTTTTTGATTCACTTTAAGAACTGGCTCATTGGAGTCATTTGATTGAGATTTGGACTTCACTAGTTAAACTGTTCTGAATGTTTTTGATTCACTTTAAGAACCGCCTCATAAGAGTCATTCGATTGAGATTTTGGACTTCACTATTTAAACTGCACTGAATTTTTTGATTCACTTTAAGAACCGGCTCGTTTGAGTCATTTGATTGAGATTTGGGCTTCACTAGTTAAACTGTTCTGAATGGTTTTGATTCACTTTAAGATCCGGCTCATTGGAGTCATTTGATTGAGATTTGGGCTTCACTAGTTAAACTGTTCTGAATGTTTTTGATTCACTTTAAGAACTGGCTCATTGGAGTCATTTGATTGAGATTTGGACTTCACTAGTTAAACTGTTCTGAATGTTTTTGATTCACTTTAAGAACCGCCTCATAAGAGTCATTCGATTGAGATTTTGGACTTCACTATTTAAACTGCACTGAATTTTTTGATTCACTTTAAGAACCGGCTCGTTTGAGTCATTTGATTGAGATTTGGGCTTCACTAGTTAAACTGTTCTGAATCTTTTTGATTCACTTTAAGAACCGGCTTATTGGAGTCATTTGATTGAGATTTGGACTTCACTCTGTTCTGAATGTTTTTGATTCACTTTAAGAACCAGCTCAATGGAGTCATTTGATTGAGATTTGGACTTCACTAGTGAAACTGTTCTGAATCTTTTTGATTCACTTTAAGAACCGGCTCATTAGAGTAATTTGATTGAGATTTGGACTTCGCTAGTTAAACTGTTCTGAATGGTTTTGATTCACTTTAAGATCCGGCTCATTAGAGTCATTTGTTTGAGATTTGGACTTCACTAGTGAAACTGTTCTGAATCTTTTTGATTCACTTTAAGAACCGGCTCATTAGAGTAATTTGATTGAGACTTGGACTTCACTAGTTAAACTTTTCTGAATGTTTTTGATTCACTTTAAGAACCGCCTCATAAGAGTAATTTGATTGAGATTTGGACTTCACTAGTTAAACTGCACTGAATGTGTTTGATTCACTTTAAGAACCAGCTCAATGGAGTCATTTGATTGAGATTTGGACTTCACTAGTGAAACTGTTCTGAATCTTTTTGATTCACTTTAAGAACCGGCTCATTAGAGTAATTTGATTGAGATTTGGACTTCACTAGTTAAACTGTTCTGATTGTTTTTGATTCACTTTAAGAACCGGCTCATTGGAGTCATTTGATTGAGATTTGGACATCACTAGTTAAACTGTTCTTAATTTTTTTTTTTTTTTTTTGATTCACTTAACGAACCGGCTCAATTAGAGTAATTTTGTCTGGGAATCGGATTACATGGTTTGCTCTGTATATTGTTCTATTATCTGTATGTTGTTGATTTATTTTCAAGAGAATCAATTCATTAGAGTAATCTGTTGTCGAATCAGACTATAAAAAAGGCTCTTGGTTCTCAATCCTACTTGTTATTGATTCAGTAGAGTTTCAAAGCTTCAAAACTCATGTTTGAGGGATGACTGTGTAATAATTCATGTTGTGTTTTGCAATAAGCCCCAGCAGAAAAGGTTAAAGATAGTCACGTGAGAGAAATCCCAGAGGTCCTAGTGTCAATAATTCAGAAGCGTCTGTATCATTTTACAAGCCATGCTTTGAAACACAGGCTGCGTCTTATTGTGACAGGAAGTTTGAGGAATGCTTTGTGCCGCTCTCCCGAGTGTCTCCCCATACTCATCCCACACATCTCCGCGTTCAGGAACAGAAACCTCAGGACCCGGAGTGACAGGAAGTGGGTGTAATGCTATAGGGAGAGCCGAGGGGTGTGACGATGGAAATATTGTAATGCTGGGAGGTTTATTTATGGCTCAGAATCATAATCACAATAGAGTGAAAGTGTCGGGAATAGAGAAATACTTGTTCCTCCCACCCGTCCCAAACTCACTAACACTAGTTGTTCTCTCAGAGGTCAGCTGTGTGGAGTTGGTGGGACAGATGTGTGCTCCTGAATAAAGTGTTCCTGTTCGCCTGTCTGAAGTGATCGCGCTTAGCCCTATGAAGAATGCTGTATCATATTTGATACACCTCTAAATTATCAATATGATCAAAACGGCTTGAAATCATCTTGTACACAATCTACAACATGCCTTCTGTCATCCGATTGATAGTTTATACTTTTACGTATAATTATAAATCCCTTTCAGGTCGTAGAACACATGACTTTCTGCCGTGAAATGTTTATTATGAATAACCTTTTGCATTGTTTGTGATAATTCAAGATGAACACCTACTGGACTGAAGCAACTTCAGTTTACTTGACTATCCATACTTCACTTTTGAGAAAAATCATGTTAAAATGATGTCCATCAAATATGATTCAACAGGCTTTTGAGAAACATTTATTTGTTCATCTCTCAATCATCATTGTATAGCATTGCATTATATATTTTGCCTGCCATAATAAAAACTACAGGGCTTTGAGCATCAAACTAAGCATTTAACTCTTTCCTGCCATTGACGGATAATCACGCCTGTCAGTCAGATAACAAACAGACGTTCATCTGGAAGTTGATCTTAAAACGTAGTTGTTGAGTAGTGCAGTAAAAAACAGTGTCATTTGCAAGCATACTGAAATAGATCACATGACATTTGCTAAATTAGCTAACCCTTAAAGATAAAATATCAATAATTATATGTATATTTCTTACTGTGCGTGTGCAGAAGAAAAATACATATTCGTCTGGCACTTTAGGAAATGGCATAATGGATCACACACTCCTGTTCTTAATAGACCTTGACCTTTGACCTTCACTGTCATTAGTGCCTCTTGAATCCCCATTAGATTCACCTCGTAGATGTTCCTTGGTTTTAAATGATGTTTTCCTATTTTGCATTCACACGAGTGCTGCATTTTTTTCTTATTAAATAGAGCAAACATCTTTTCTTTACACACGAACTGGGACATTTCCCTTTCGATTTGGTCAGATGCTGACTTTCATCTGCCATCTGCTCAGAGCCTGTGTTTTGAACCTCCATATTAAACTGAATTTTTACTTTTAAAGGAGTAGTTCGCTTTAAAAAAAAGTTTTTGATGAAAACATTTCAAGCATTTTTCTCCATATAATGGGGTCCAAATGGTTCAAGGTCCAAAAGAGATTTTCAGTGCAGCTTTAAACGACACCAGACGATGAATAAGGGTCTTATCAAGTGAAACGATTGGTCATTTAAAAAATAAATAAAGAAGTTTAATATTTAACTTTAGGTTTCTTTGTAAGAGTGTGTTCACATGGTTCGCTTGAGCCAGACAAAAAACACGAAAACATTTTAGTCCTAGTCCGCTTAGCGTTCACATTGGCATTTTAACACCAAACCTAAAGGCATAGGGATATCGCACAACCGGATTGGTCAGCTTTTATTATGTATGTTTCGAGACTAAACTTACCGAACATCCAAAACAATGCTGCGTGCTGGGCTAAATGCGCTCGTTGTATGTGCGTAGCTAATGGTATTTTGACCAGCTGAGAACTCGTGAAGAGCTTCTAAAATGTAAAACAGCGACACACTCACACACAAACGAAGACCAGCTGCGTGTTTTTGAGTCGTTTACATGTCTGACTGTGGTCCGTGTTGCGTTCATATTTCATTGAGTCCCATCTCTTCAGCTGTTTGAGTCCACTTGTTAGGTGGCACCAGGGTTCAGAGGCAGCGTGAAACGCACTGACAATCGCAACAGAGTTCGTTTTAACCCAAACAAACCATGTGTGAACACACGCCCTAAGAGTGTTTATTTCCCCTGTCACAGGAGCTTCAGCCCTCACTGGAGTCCTCGACACGGGACCCATCTGAGCTTGTACCGAGACTGTGTTTCCTGGTTCGGTCTGAGGCGGGTTACGGCTTTAATCTGCACAGTGAGAAGTCCAGGCCGGGTCAGTACATACGAGCTCTGGACCCCGGGTCGCCCGCTGACCGCGCCGGACTCAAACCGCAGGACAGACTCATAGAGGTGAGACACGAATCATTCTGAATCTGCTGAAGCGAATTCATGTAGTAAATCACTTTATCCCATTAAAACTCATATTTCATCACCAAAATGACATATTTCGACGTTTTATCCTTGGGAATAATTATTTATGCCTTAAAATAGCTTGAATGTAACTCGACAACCTTGCCTCATTTAGTATACGCGGCTCTATGAATATGCAAATTAGCCCCGCCTCCAGCTCAGAGATCCACTCGTTGACGAACAAACGTTGACCTGATTGGTTACAAGATCGTTTATGACGTCAGAAACACCAGTTTTTGAGACTGTCTTTGTTTTGATGCAGTTTTAAGGAGAAAATATTCAGCAATGGTGTCGAATTTACACATGGTTTGTCTTAAAGCATATTAAAAACACTGCTTAGACGTATTAAAATCTTTAAATTATGATTTTCACCACAGGGGGACTTTAAGTAGCTTGAAGCTCTCTCATAATTCTGTAATTTACACACATGCATCAATATACATCTTTATGATGCCAGATATATACACCCACATTTTCTAAATTCACCTCTACATTCACACTCGCACACACAGACCAACCATCACATTCAGATGCATGTGGGCGGCATGTGATATGATGACTCGCACTAAAATATTTCTGTTCTTGAAAGACTGAGTCAAGCAAAATAAACATGTTGAAACTTACATTCGAGATCGATCGGCAGAGCTGAAAACATCCTGTATTGTCACAGAAATAAATGCAGTGTTCTCATAGGCTTCATTAACTCGTGAACCTCGTGATGTAGTGCTCATTAAACACATTAGCTATATCTATTCATTGCTGTGTGCAAATGATGAACCATTATGAAATTAGAATGTGCTAGTTTGTATTTAAGGAAAACCTTTATATACTGGTGATGAAAATAATAAAAACATCGCTCATTGTTTTACAGACATTTCCCTCGTTATTGAAATCATCAATAGGTGAATCTCATGAAACCCTAATGTATGATTTTATCAGAAAAATGCCTCAAGATAATGCTGCTAAATAAATATGTATACATATGTTTATGTAAACTTTTTTATTAAAATCAGCATTATTTTGTTTATAATATAATACATTTATATAAATAATATATGTATATTTTATATAAATATATTTAGATATTTTGGTGTGTTTGTGTGTGTTTATATATACACACACACACACACACACACCCAGGTGAAACTCGAAAAAATTAAAATATCATTCAAAAGTTAATTTATTTCAGTAATTCAACTTAAAAGGTGAAACTAATATATTATATAGACTCATTACATGCAAAGTGAGATATTTCAAGCCTTTATTTTTTCTAATTTCGATGATTATGGCTTACTGCTTATCAAAACCCCAAAGTCATAATTAGAATATTGTGAAAAGGTTTTGATAAGCAGTAAGCCATAATCATAAAAATGATAACAAATAAAGGCTTGAAATATCTCGCTTTGTATGTAATGATTCTATATAATATATTGGTTTCACCCTTTAAGTTGAATTACTGAAATAAATAAAATTTTGGACATCTGTATATAAATAAAAAAAAAAGTAATAAAAAGTTAGAGAACAGCATTTATTCAAAATAGAAATCTTTTCTAACAAAAGAAATCTTTACAATCACTTTTTATAAATTTCATACATCCTTGCTGAATAAAAATATTAATTTATTTGAAAAAAGAAGTAAAAAATGACTGACCTCAAACTTTTAAACGGTAGAATATATTGTTACAAACGGTATATTGTTTACATAATAAATACTGTTCTTTTATTAACATTTTATACATCAGAAAATCATAGGTTATAAAATTAGGGCGTGTATAATTATTTTGTGTATTTAATGTGTATGTGTATAATTATTTTGTATATATAAAACATGCAATACACAAATACACAAATGCATGTATATATTTAAGAAATATTTATACATAATTTATATGAAATATTAATATTTCATATATTAAAAACACATTTTTTCTTAAAAATATACATGCATGTGTGTGAATTTTTATATGCAAACACAAACTTTAATTTTGGATGCGATTATTTGTTGCCCAGGACTAAAAAAATATGATCATTATTAAAAATATTATATTTTAAATATTATATAAAAAATATTATATTTTAAATATATATTAAATACATATTGGAAAAAAATTATCATTATATATATATATATAATCATCATAATAGTATGATTTCTGAAAGATCATGTGACACTGAAGACTGGAGTAATGTGGAATTATATATATAACATATATATATATATATATATATATATATACATATAACATGACAATCATTACTGAGAATATTTTGTAAAAAGTAAACATGCAGATGCATTATAGCTACTATAAATTGAGAATTTGACACCAAAGTGCAACAAATGCAAAAAGTCTTAATTTCCGCCGTTCAGTTAAACGTTATCTCCATCTTGCAGTTGTTTGCAGCCTCAGTAAAAGAGTGCGAGTCCTGCCCCCTTCAGTTTTGAGAAGCACGTCCCTCAGGACACTGATACCTGAAACCCACACGGCCACAGCAACAGGCTTCAATATTTGATGGTGTTCAGTTGAATAAAGCACACGGCCCATCTGTCCTCAGGACAAACACTCAGATTAAATCACCTTCAGCAGAAGGAGAGCGCTCGCGGGCCGCTCTCGTGCCCTTGTTTTTGTTTTGATTGATTTGGTTGTAATTTCGGTAAAATGTGTTCGCCATCCCTCCTCTGCTCGACCGGTTGGGAACTTAATTCTACCACAGAACATGTTGCTAAGCAACCAGGAGCAGGGTGCTATAAGGCAAAAATGACTGAAGGGGTTTATCATGGGATAAATAAAGCTTTTACGTGTGATTAAAGTCACTGAGGCAGAAGTGAAGATTCACCCCAGAATAATCTATCGATGAATGGTGTTTATAGGTCATCACTGTCACTCTTCTCTCTTTTAAGAGAGTCAAAAATAATGCACCACGAAATTACCATTAAAATGTTCCTTGGAAAATAATATTTAGTTTTTCTATACCATGATGAAGTACTTAAAGGTACCATTCATATCATTTGTTTATGTATGTGGTAATCAAATATTACATGAAATCATCATGATTGTACAATGTTTTATTTATTTATTATTCATTTATTTATTTTAAATAATTGACACATTTATAATAGAGCTAGTTAAAATATAAATTACAAAAACACACACATATATATATATATATATATAAATTGTGCTTGTGTGTATATGTGTATAATTATCGACTATGTATATAATTATGACTATGTATATAATATAAATATATACTTATCGTATATAATTAATGACTACTAAATTAAACTACTATATATTTATATAACTATTTATATAAATTATATATATATATATATATAAAGTATATAAACTATAGTATACTTATAACTTTATAGTATATGCAGTTATATCTTATATGTATAATTCAGTATATACAAAACAATTTAAAAGTTGTTTTGGACATGTTACCATAGTAATACCACAGTTTTTGGATGCTACCATGAAACTAATGTCATTGTATTGTGTGAAGTTCATTGTAGTACAAAATAAATATTGTATAATATGAATATGGTAAAACACATGGTAAAAGAAAAAGGAAATGTTTATATTGTTGTATAGACACTCTAGCTGTTCAGTTGTGAAGTCCTAACTCTTGCTGTATTAAAACTGCAGGTGAATGGAGTGAACATTGAAAACATGAGACATGCTGAAGTTGTGGCCTTCATCAAGAACGGTGGTAACGAGACGCGTCTGCTAGTGGTGGATCCAGAGACAGATGAGCATTTCAAGAAGATGGGCATCACCCCCACCACCATCCATGTCAAAGGTACGGTTGAAGAACTCACTGAGGATCGTTCACCCAGAAATGAACATTCATGAGCTGCGAAGGCAAGCGTGTCTGTACATCAGGGGCGTGTCCTCGTCCGAGGAGGAGGAGGAGGCAAGGGAGAAGGTGTCTCCTTGAAAATAAACTGGAGGAGAAAATCCACATTAGAAAAATAAAACGCCAATAATACAAAATGTTAGAAATTAGAAAGGGTCATGATAAAGTAACGGTGTCCAACAGTGACACCTGCAGGTAAAGTTACAGCGTCTCTCTTGCCTCCCCTGATCCCATTGACCCTGTTTTGCAGTGATCTCAAACTCAATTCCTGGAGGGCCACAGCTCTGCACAGTTTTGCTCCAAGTCCAACCCTAATCAAACACACCTGATCCAGATCCACTGAGTAATTAAGGTCTTCAGGATTACTAGAAACAGGTGTGATTTGGAGCTAAACTGTGCAGAGCTGTGGCCCTCCAGGAATTGAGTTTGAGATCACTGCCCTAAAGTGTGCGGTGGGTTAGTGGGAGGCAATGGAGAACGAGTCACATGAGTTAATGTAAATACTAATTAAAAAGTAAGTTCAGTTCAGTTCAGTTTCAGTTTATTTTCCCCTAAGGGAAACTTATCTTGCAGCCAGGTAAACATACAGGTCATACCCATAAACAACACAGACTACTAAACATCTCGGTCACCTAAATATTATACGGAAGCGTATTGCATTCACTTGAAGAAAAAAATCTACTCTGTTTTTCTGAATTAACGAGTTAATTACAAGATATTTTCTCATGGAAAAAAAATTTTGCTCAGTTTTTCTGAAATAATGACTTATCTCAAATTATCTCTTAATTATCTCAAAATTATGAGTAACTCATTAATTCATAAAAACGAGTGAAAAAATGTATCTCATAATTCTGAGATAATTAACTCGTTAATTCAGAAAAACAGAGCAAATTCTATTTTCATGAAAAATATCTCGTACTTCTAACATAATGAAATCGTTAATTAAAAAAAGTGTAGAATTTTTTCTCTGTAAGTGAATGCAATACGCGTCCATAATATTACCACTTTGTCACATCAGAATTACACTTGAAATGGCCTGAAAACATGATGGTTGTGGGGCTTTAGTGAGCAATCAGCTTTGGGAAATTATATGTTTTTTTTTGTCTTTGTTTCTGTTACCAGTGAGTACAAGCTTGATATGTATATATGAAGAGTTCAGATGCAAAAGCCTCTAAATGCCATTTGAAATTTTCTTCTTTAATGATGATTTTTATCAAACTTGTATATTTAAGTTCAGTAATTTCACTTAAATAACAATTAATAGGTAATTATCATTGCCATTTAAGTAAAATTACTGAACTTAAATATACAAGTTTGATAAAAATCATCATTACAGAACAAAATTTCAAATGGCATTTAGAGGCTTTTGCATCTGAACTCTTCATATATATATATATATATATGGAATATATATATATATATAATTTTTGTATGTTTCTTATGCTCACCAAGATTGCATTCATTTGTTCAAAATATAATACAGTAAAAACTAATATTTTTGAAATATTATTACAATTGAAAATAACTGTGTATATATAGTAAAATGTATTTTCAGCATCATTACTCCAGTCTTCAGTGTCACATGATCCTTCAGAAATCACTCTAATATGATGATTTGATGATCAAGTATTATTATTAATGATGGTTCTTCATATTCAGTTTAGTATGTGCAGCCTTGACCTCCTCTTCCTGGGATTTGAGGGGGAGGTTTTGTTTTGTTTTTGGTTTTTCCTCTCAAGGCCCTTCACTATCGAGAAGCGAACAGGCATCAGAATCTGGGCTGTAGGCCATTCTGGAAACTCTTGTCCATGTCTGTTAGCCAGCGGTCCCGCTTCTGACATGTGGCTCAGATTAAAGTTAAATTGAGTCGAACACTTTAAACAGGCTATTGACATCTCTTGGATAATTGTTATTTGGCAGGATCCTGATTCGGCCCACTGGAAGGTCGTTCCAGCCCAATCCACTTGCTTTCCAGCAACTGTTTTCTTTGTATCATTTTCATGCTTTTCATCCCGGATCAGTAAATCTTCTGCGTCAGGTCTTTGAGTGTCAGGTGACCCAGATTAGCCCGAACAGGCCATGGATGTGCGTCCTGCTTTTACACACAGCTCAGCTCAAGGTTTCCAGCTGTCGCAATGGTCTTCATCACAGCGTCTCTCTCCCACATGCACCATATTGATAAACCGTATGTTTATGGCTGTTTTTATGTTCGACGTCAGCCACGATGAACAGTGACCTGAGCTTTGGTTCTTCTTCTTAAAACAGATTTTGACGAGTCCATAACTAACGGCTCCTCCAGCCCACACGTGAACGGGACGTCTTCGAGATCCACATACTCAGACGGCAGCAGTCAGGACACAAACATACAGGTGACCATTTTCACCAGAAACAAAACCTGCATCTCCAATTAATGTTATTTAATGTTCACTCTTCAATATAAAGGTTCTTTATTGGCATTGATGGTTCCATGAAGAACCTTTAAACATCCATGGAATTTAAAGTGTGTGTGTGTGTGTATGTGCGTTTAATTTAATGCATTCAACAAAACTTTCAAAAACACATTTTACGTCAGCTAATTTTTCAAAAAGCTCCTTAAGATAACAAATTTTCACACATTACATTAGATATATAACATCTGTAAATATGTATTAATTGTACTAAATAAAATACTCTAAAGACTTGGCATGGTATGAAACAAAATGGTTATAATAGCATTTGATCACTATATATATATATATATATATATATATATTAGGGCTGTCAAACGATTAATCGCAAATAAAACTTTGTGTATATGTGGGTGGACTAAAATAATAATTATACACAGTCCACCCACATATATTATGTACACACAAACTTTTATTTTGTATGCGATTAATCGTTTGACAGCCCTAATATATACAGTATATATATATTAGGGGTGTAACGATATTCGAACTGAACCGAAAAACCGCGATACGGAACTCACGATTCGAATCGCGATACTCTCGTTGCGTACCGAACACGCCACATTATTATATATTTCAATTACAAATTTGAGTAAAAACAAAAGTTAATGCAAAACTGCCTTATGTTCAGTTTACATGTTTTCATACAATTTGTTGTGTTGATTATTATATCTAAATATAAATAGCATTAGCAGATTTTTTTAAATCCTTGTGAAACCTTTTAATTGTAATTGAATTAATTTAAAGACAAAGACAATTTTTCATTAAAACACTGTTTAAAAAACAACAACAACAAAAGCAATTTTAGCTTTCTAAACTGAACCGAACCGAGACGTCAAAACCGTGGGAAAACCGAACCATCAGTTTTGTGTATCGTTACACCCCTAATTTTTATCGTTTTATCGTGTATCGTTACACCCCTAACCCTTTTGTGCATTTTCTGGCTTTTTGCTTTTTGCAGCCGTCTCCATGTGTTAAGAGTGTATTTCTGTATTGCAGTTCTCGAGGGAGAGCAGCAGTCATCATCTCGACCCGTTTGAAGAAACAGGTCTGTGTTTGAGCCCCACGGCGGCGGAGGCTAAAGAGAAAGCGCACGCCAAGCGCGCCAGAAAGAGAGCGCCACAGATGGACTGGAACAAGAAGCACGAGATTTTCAGCAATTTTTGAATCCTCTTCCCAGACCCCAGTGACGCCCCCCGCCAACCCTATATGTGTTGCATTCAACGCCCTGGACACGTGACTGCTTTTAATGGGGAAAAAAAGAGGCACCTATTTTTGTAGAAAAATGAAAACTTGAACTATAAAAAGTTGAACAACTCACCCGGAGAGGAGAATGTCTTGTAAATGGCTTAGAAAGCCAGCAGAGGGAAAAGCGATGGTCAGGCTGTTCGTATAGAGAGATTTCTGCGTCATTTTGTTTTCAAACAGGTAGTGTGTTAACAGTAATGTGTACAGTGGAATATCAAAAGCCAAACGAGACTGCATATGGATGGACTACAGCATACGAACTCGACGGAACAAAATCATCCCATCCGAGAAGAACCAAAATAATGAAGCTCATTTTATGTCGTACATGTTTTATGTGAATCATCATCAGTGAGTGAGAACTGTACTTTTGCCAAAGACACAACCTATAATCAACCCGATCAGCTGATGTCTTATGCTTTTGGATTGTTTTGAAGGGACGTGCCACTGTTGGAAATCAACTGAATGAATTTACTGAGAGGAAGAAAGAAACAGGAGTGACCCACAAACGGGAATTTGAAAGGGAATTGCACTTCTCTTCTTCGCCACCAGAGGGCGGTGCACTCTAGGTCATTGTTAAAGAAGTCAAAATATAGTGTGACATGTTCAACCACCAGAGGGAACATCACAACACACGCCACTGTCTTACAGACTGCAGGAGTGAAACGTTTGAATTGAACACGTGCAAAGTTGCAAAATATGCCACAAAGAGTCATACTGGTGCATTCTGGGACATGGATGGATACTGACAAGGCAGATGGCATGCAAGACACCGAATCGGTTTAGGAATAAAAGTAATAAACCTCGTAAAACGATAAAGAGCAACGTATATCTTATCTACAGAGTTTGAGGAACAGATGCAGCAGTATTGATGCTGAACTTTCTGCATGAAGACAGCTGGATATACACATTACTGACTCAGACACGGCTGATTGGGATATATAGGATTTATTTAGGTACTGTTAACAATGCAGACAATCTTAAAAGCTTTTAAGAGAGCGCTATATGCATTTACGGCACACATATTGTGATATACAGCATCAGCATTACTATTATTCATCTTAATAATTCACGATGCATTCCATGTTTGCAATTTAGTATTAATGTAGTGAAGTAGATCCTGTTGTTTTCTTTCCTGTGCCGCCATTGAGCACTAATGGGAAATCATCTCCTATCAGAAATATTCATATTAGTATTATTTTTTTCAATAAAGCGTGACGCTTACATTCCGAATAAGATTTGCTGTGGTTATGTTTTATAAAGCTTTTTTTTTGTAAATGACGAACTTAACACGTTCAGTTTCACATCTCCTGGGTTCTGGGTTGGCAGCCGTTGTGTGAAAAACACCTTCGCAGGATTTACTGATAATGTAATATAACACTATATATATATAGCATTATTAATGTGTAAAAAAAAATTTAAAATATGAACGTTTCTTCCGATGTTGATATAACTGGAAACATGTCATCACAGTCTGTGAAAAGGCGAAGCAAATGCTGATCATCACAAAATGGCCAAATATTAGCCTAAATCTATCAGTTTATCACTCATTTGCCAGAATATACAGTGTTATTTCAAACAAAATGTGTTCTCTTGGTCTAACTTTTATAATTAATGGCATTTCACTTAAATAAATAGTAACTGAAATTTTAGCATGTTTTTTAAATACCTTCCTTTAGGCTACTGAACCAAATAAAGTCAATCATACAGTTAATTTAACAAATATATTCAGAAATATAGGCTATATGCCACATCTAACTGGATTCTGGATCGAGTGATGCGTGCTGCCATGATGCTGTATGCTGTTGCTAAGGTGTTGATGTTTTGTTGTGTTGCCAGGGTGTTGAGTGGGATTGCTAGGCGGTTACATTTCAAAAGTAACCAACCAAATGTCTATCACTGTAAAATATATTCAAGTATGATGCATTTGAGACATTTTAACTTAGTTAACTTAGCCTAGTCGAATCAAGTTGAAAATATTAAGTTGTAATTGCATTATTTGAGTTAAAGTAATGGAATAACAAACGTTGTCATGACTTATCGATCATATCATTTTTTTTTTTACAGTTCCTAACCACAATTATGAGCAATTTATCCTTGTATAACACCACTAATGATGTAATCAACAATGATTCACGTTAATTTTGTACTTTGTAGATCCCACAAACACTCCTCCATTCACACAGGCTTTTCGTTCTAGACGTTCACTTAGTCCGAGACGGGCACAGGAAAACGTGCCCAACGTGATGACACCCATATGAGCCATAAAGGATATTTGAGCGGATCTTTCAGTCTTTAGATTAGAGATGGGAGTGTCTGTTTGCACTGAAGAAGACGAGCTTCAAAAACCTGAGCAATATAGATGAAAATGACTGATCTCAAAGTGGACTTCACAGACAGACTGGTAAAACAAGACCACATCTCGTGTCGCTTATAATGTTTTACAGTGTATATGAGATCAATAAGATATGACAACGTGTTTTCAAAATAAAATAAGCATTTTTTTTAACCTTTTTTAATAACTTATACATGATTAAACTCGGTTTTTGAGTTGAAATTACTTAAACACTCAAGTTGATTGTAGGCTACTTAAAAAATTTTATAGTGAGTTTTTGAACAATGAACCTTTTTGCCATTTTTTTTTTTAAATTTAGCATGCAATGAAAAGACGATCAACTTGCCCATTACAAGTCAGCATGTGTGCCTAACAGGGATTTTATGTCTCTTGCTGAACAAAATAAATGCCTCATAATTCCTTAAAACACTTCAGAATGGTGCAGAAAGTTGTAAAGTCTGCGTAACCAGAAGGACCGGCGGCAAGAACCGTAAAAACGCAGTTTACTGTCATGCTTGTCTGGAAGTGTAATGCATTACTGGAGGCTTTGACTGAATAGGGCAAAAACCTTCACAGCAACATTTGTTTGGACACACACAATCCATAAAGTCAACCCAATAAAGAGTATTTGACAGTTGAGCAGACTTAAACATGTCTGATGTTGGTGCATCAGATCAAATGTCTATATCTCAAACACTGTCTTCACCAACAGTGACTTTTATCCAGCTGGTGTTTGTTAGCTGGTGCATGTGGTCCTCACATAGGTCATCATTATAGACATGATCCACAAAATGTCCATATACTTCATTTTATTTTTAAGAATTATTTTATCATTTTAAATGCTTTGCTTGAGAAGTGTTATGGTATTTTTCATTTGCAATTAAAATAATATAATTCTAAATATATAAATTATATATTTTTATTAAGTTACATATTTTATTCAGTTAGTGAATATATAGAAAGTTAATGGCTGCGTCCGAAATTGCATACTTCCCTACAAAATAGTAGGCAAAAAACAGTATGTGAGGATTTGTGAATGGCAGTGAGGCTACGCTACTGACACCGTAGGTCATGTTACAATGACAACATGGCGAATATGTAGTTCATACTTAATAGAACATACTTGTTTTTTTACTCTATTCGAAATAAGTACGGTCTAAAGAGTATGCGATTTCGGATGCAGCAAATGTTTTAGTTAAATTAAGAATTATTTATTTCAAAATGTTTAACAAGCCTTTATTTTTAAATAAAAATACATTAATTCTATTTTTGAAAGTAAACTATAGATACAAATACAACCAGGGTGTACATAAGGATAAACAATAATAAAATCAAAAGATGGAAATAAAGCATAATAAGGTCAATAAAAAATTAATCTGTTTGCATTAAAAAAGTAACACTTACTTTATCTACTTTGACAGCCCCAATACTTTATCTATTTATCGATATTTACTTTTTTTAATTACTATATTTACTTTTACTATTCACTATATACTATTTTTTTATGAATAAAACTAAAATCTGAAGATGTTTGTGGTCATCAGTGCTTTTTTTCCCACTCCAACGTTCCCGTAATTATTCCTGCCCACTAAAAGCTGCACGGAGAAATTTGCTTACCCCACAAATAGGCCAATGTAAACGATTTAGAAAATGTTCCATCGATTCACACTTTATATCATCGCTTATGTAGTGTCATATCACCCAGCCCTAACATGCAGTAATGCTTTAAACACATTTGACAAGCTGTTGATACAACAACTGATCAAGACTGATTGGCTAACGCTATTTTCACATTTGTCTGTGCTCTTTTAATATTTCATGTTAACTGAAGGCAAATCTGAATAATAATTTAACTTTAATCAACAAGTAGAATTGATCATGATATCCTCACCTCGCTGATCCAGTGCTGCAGCTCACATGAGGGGGCGTGTCTGAACTAGTTGATGCACGAAATAAGTAGGCCTACCTTGATTAAGAGGTTGACAAGCAAAAAGTGTTCATAAATGTATTTACATGACATTACATTTTTTTTTCCAATGGCTTTAAAATACAAAATTGTATTTTGTATTTCAAATACGTATTTTAAATACCTGTATCTGATATACTGCCCATCCCTGAATCTACGTCGCTCAATAGTATTATTACCACGGTATAATAATACTTCAATAACCTTATCTTTTGTAGGCAGCGAAGGGCAGCTGCAGTGCAGACGGCCCGAGAGAGGGCGGCAGTCGCCGTCGCCATGGTTGCGCAGTGTTTGTGTTAGCATGCGCGTGAGTCAGAGGAGCAGTGAGTCACAGTCAGGAGGAAATTCTCTGTTCTCGATTCACACACAACCACACACTCTAACCGACCAAGGCCAAATAAGGACAACAGCTCGGAGAGTGAGAGAGAGACGGGAAATCTGTCCTGTCAGGGGCCGGCTGTGGATTTGTGAGTGAGGGGAGGGGAACGGTCACACCCAGCGACTTCACACCTCAGTTTACGCTTGACATTTCGCTATGATAAAGTAGCCTTCAAATTTTTTAGTGACGTTACAACCCCAGCCTTTGTTGTTGTTGAATTAATTATCAGTTTGGGTTTTATGTTATGAACAGTGATGTTATCTATCACATGCTAATACCCTGGCACTACCAGATTAGCATGGATAGCTGCATGTTCGTAAACTTTTTGTTTTTTATTAACATCAAGACTAGTTTACAGGCCGGGAAAGATGTCCACATTTCACTAAAATGCGGTTCACTTTACACCAAGAGAGATAACCTTTTTCAAAAAAAACAACCCGCGACAACAGTGTAACATAGCCCAATTCCACAGAAAACCACGGACTTGTCAACACTGGTCATGTTGTTTGTTGCTTTAAAGGGATAGTTCACTTTGAAATTAATCTTTGGTATGTTTTAGCTTACCTTAAGGGCATCCAAGATGTAGGTGTCTTTGTTTCCACAGCATTTTCAATTTTGACATTTTTCGGTCAAACCGGTGTTGTCTGTAATGCAGTTTTAGGGGGTCCACCTCAAAGAGCATGCACAGAGAAGTCCAAATTAAACATGATTTAATGACTCGTAAATGTAAGTACACATTGATGGCCTAAGACATGAAACGAGTGGTTTGTGTGAGAAAACGAACAGTATTTATATTGTTTTTACCTCTTGTTAACAGCCGTCGGAAGTGATCTCTCGTGTGTCTAATTCACGCATTGTTTACACAAAGATTTTGGAAGTTTTACCTTTCACTAAACATACTTAGATATACGGGAAATCACAATGGAAGACGATTTCAATATATTTAAATATATTTAGTGAAAGGTAAAACTTCCGAAATCTCTGTGTAAACAATGCGTGACCTAGACGCGCGAGAGATCACTTCCGGCGTAACATCTGATTCAGATCAGTTTGACGGCTGTTAACAAGAGGTAAAAACTATATAAATACTGTTCGTTTTCTCACACAAACCGCTCGTTTCGTGTTTTAGGCCATCAATGTGTACTTACATTTACAAGTCATTAAATCATGTTTAATTTGGACTTCTCTGTGCATGCTTTTTGAGGTGGACCCCCTAAAACTGCATTATATGACTGACAGACAACAACGGTTTGACCAAAAAATGTCAAAATTGAAAATGCTGTGGAAACAAAGACACCTACATCTCAGATAACCTTGAGGTAAGCTAAAACATATCAAAAAGTAATATGAAAGTGAACTATCCCTTTAAATGCTCCAGCTCTTTAAAGTCAGGTGGATTCTGATTGGCTGTTTATATTTTTATGCTTCATCAGCTGAAAAAAAAAAAAATCATTCACACCTAGGATAACTATAAGCGAATAAAGTTGTAATAATAACGATAACTACTGAGAAACAATATTGTTGAAATTACTTCCAGAGCTTTTTTTTCAATGGTAAA